CCTACGGGCAGTGGTTCTGGAGGAGTGGTAGTACACTAGACGACTTCCGTTATGACTGTGCCTTATGCTCCTGAGACACTTGACTTAGGTCTGTGGTATATTGTTAAAACATTCTTTGGGAGGGATGGCAAAATGGTTCAGTTAGCAAAACATTAGCCTCAGAAGTGTGAGGACCTGGGTTCAGAACCCCCAGAATTCATGTTAAAAAGCTTGTCAGAGTGGCATGTACTTGAAAATCCCTTGAAGGAGAGATAGGAGTTAGAAACAAGCAGATCCATGGATGCTACTAGGGTCTGCTAGCCAGGCCCATGTGGTAGTTACAGGCCAATGAGAGACCCTAACTGAAACAAAAGGTGGATGGTGCCTGAGGACTGGCACTTGAGGTTATCCTGATCACCACATCGGTGCACTGGAGTGCGCGCGCACACACACACACACACACACACACACACACACACACACACTATCTTTTTCAAGGATACTGTGTATGGTGGTGGATGCCCTCACCAAAATATCACAAGAATGATTTCTAGGCAACACACTAAAATTCTTCTTCTCTGAAACCTCTTGAGCCAGCCCCCCACAGTTCAAATCACTCTTAGCATGACTGTCTTCCATGTTCCTACTGGTATGGCTCTTTAAACAGTGTTTAAAGCATTCCTCTGCTTTCCTAACCCAAACTCCTAAAGTCTGAATTCCTCCAAACAAAAGCATGGGCACAGCAATATCCCAGTCCCTGGAATTATCTTCTGTCTTAGTTAGAGTTTCTATTGCTGTGAAGAGACACCAGGACCACAGCAACTCTTATAAAGGAAAAAGATTTCATTGGGGTAGCTTACATTTTCAGAGTAAGTCCATTATCATCATAATGAGACGTGGTGGTGTGCAGGCAGACACGGTGCTAGAGAAGTAGCTGAGTGTCCTATATCTTGACTTGTGAGCAACAGGAAGTGGTCTGTCTTACTGGAGGTGACTTGAGCATATATGAGACCTCAAAGCCCACCCCCACAGTGACCTATTTCCTCCAACAAAGTCACATCTTCTAATAGTGCCACTCCCTTTGGGGGCCATTTTCTTTCAAACCACCACAGTGGGCATCTATAATTTTAGCATTTGAGAAGTGGAGGCAGGAGTTCAAGGCCAACCTCATCTATATATCAAATTGAGAATTTGAGACTAGCTGGACTACTGAGACACTGTCTCAAAACAATGGAAGAAAGAAAGAGATAAAGAAAACATGTTTTCAAACCACCAGGAAAATTTGAAGAGAAAGAAGGACATTTTAACAGTTCCATCCTAGATGTGGGAGGGGGGTGTCATTATTTAATCATGGCTATCAACACCACTTTGCTGGGACAGTACCACTGATCTCTGAGAGCTTTCAGCCTCACTTACCATTTCATGATAGTGTCGTCCCTGTGCAAGAGATGGGGCTGAAAGGAGCTATCAGGGTGTGATCCCATGTGCCATAAATGTTCTTTCAGTGACACTAGCTTATACTTTTGCTGAATATAGGCCTTATAGCATTTTGAATTAATAAGTAGTTTCTTGGTAGAAAGTACTTCATATGGGAGATCCCTCGTGCTTGTACATCCTATAAGCTTAACACTAATTCTGAAGCATAATATAGGCAACTTAACACTTTTAAAAAGGAAGTTTTTTTTTTTTAAATCACATATAGAAGTGGGAGAGGCATGACACCTGATGTCATATGTGGGGAAATAGAGGGCTATGGCAATGAATCACTTAACTCCATCAGGGTCCCTGGATCATGTCAACACATTCAGTCAGTCAACATTTATAAATGAGGGTGATGGTTTTTTGGCAGGCAGAGTGGCACTGTGAATACACAATAAATAAAGCACAGGTGTTGTCCTTAAAAGACTTAAAGATGATAGGAAGTGGGCTGGAGGGCTGGCTCAACAGTTAAGAGTACTTGATGCTCTTCCAGAAGACCTAAGTTCTATTCCCAGCACCCACATTAGATGTCTCACACCTCTCTGGAATGCCAGCTCCAGGGGATTGGTCACCCTCTTGTGGCCTCAGTGGGCACTACACTCATGTGCGTATGTGCACACAGACATGTACACATAATTAACAGACACAATTTTTTTTAAATTTAGAATGAAATGATAGTGGCAAATGAAGAAAATCATAATATCTAATTTTCTAAGCTCAGGATTATTTTGACTTTTTAATTATAAAGTAAATATTTAGGAGTCCATACTTGCTTAGCTTTAATCTCAAGTATTTTATAACATCACCGGCCCATCTACTTTTGGCTTTATTTGTCACACTCATGTGCTCCTCAACTTATGAGGAGAGATGTCATGATTCTAAACTGCACTTAAAGAATCTCATCTGCAAAACTTTACAGCTCATCCTTGCCTACCTTAAGCATGCTCAACATAATAGCTCCCATTGGTCAGAAGCATCTTACTCAAGCCCATTTATTTTTTATGAAGTAAGTTTGTATCTCATTGGATAAAGGGAATTACTATCAAGCCCAGTGACCCAAGTTTGATGCCCAGGACACACATGCCAGAAGGGAAGAACTGGCTCCCACAAGTTGTCCTCTGACCATCACACACATGCTCAGTGGCACATATCCCTTCCCACCACACAAATAAACATAACTTTTTAAAAAATAAGAAAAATTCATGAGCCCCTAGTAACACATCTGCGTTCTGTTTTGTACTTGCTTTACATGGTGCTATGATTTGCTTTTCTGTTGTGATTACAACACTGACCAAAAGTTGCTGTGTGGGGAGGCAAAGGTTTATTACGTCTTACAGACTACAGGCTACCATCAAAGGAGGTCATATCAGGAACCTAGAGGCAGGGACCTCACCAGAGGCCATGGAGGAATGCTGTTTCCATGGCTTGCTCAGTTGCTTTGTTATGGTACCCAGGTGTAGTACCGGCCCACAGTGGGCTGGACCCTCCCACTTCAATCATGAATCAAGACAATACCTCCTTCAGATTGGCCCTTAGGAGAGTTTGTGAGGTGTTTTCTTTGTTGAGGTTCCCTCTTCCCAGATGATACTAGTGTGTGTCAAGTTGAAACAAACAAACCCCAAAACTAATGAGGACACTTGGTTACAGGGGTGACACAGTAGTGCATACATAGGGACATTACTTACATCACATTTCTAGTCTAACACAAGTGGACACCCAGATGACCCCAGGAGACCTCTGTTCTCTGATTCAGCTGGTCTTCGAACCTCACCCAGGAATAGACATCTAGGAATCCCACCACTGAATAATGTGAGTATCCACACTCTTAGGATTGTTCTGTGGGGCTCTGAGAATCTCCCCAGACAGAGCTATATAGGATGCTCAATAATACACTAACTTAATTGTTTTTCATTTGGTTGAGAAGTAAATACAATATGGAAGTTTAGAGCCAGATTGTTATTAAATTATTATTTTCATTTTCATCTTCTTTCAATAATTGTTATTAGTGATAATTATTTAATTAACTGTGCTTTAGTACAGCAATTCTCAACCATAGCTACACATTAGAATCACCTGGGGAACCACTTAAAAACACTTTTGGGGGCTCCACTCTAGGCCAATTAAATCAGTTCATCTGGGCATAGCAACAGGGCTGTGGTGCTCCTCAAAGCTTGCCCGAGTTTCTCATACACAGTCACGTTTGAGAACCTATAGGTCTGATGGTTGGGTCACTGACCAACAATGACTTTTGAGTTTTAAGTTCCCCCATGACATTTTTGAAAAATTGTATTCAAAATGTGGCAAAACCTACATAACATAAAATACAGCATTTTATTTATCTTGAAAAGTTGAGTCAATTCCATGCACTTATCATCACCGTACATCTGCAGAAGTCTGTCTGTCTTACACACAGACTGAACACAAACACTCCACTGCCCGTTCTCCCAGTCCTGTCTCCATGAATTTGAGTCCAAGTATCTCACAGGGTATGACACACATACAGTGAGTGGGGATTTCATTTGTTTTCTTCATGGCGGTATAGTCTCCTGTCATGTTCTTCCTGAGGTGTGTTCTTTGCTCTTGAACTTCAATGATTTATGGGGCTACATGTGAGAGTGAGTCTCTCCAAAGCTGTTTTTTTTCTAGATATCAGTGAGCCACTTTACTCTGGAGGCACAAGATCTTCTTCCTTTCAGGTCCTTTTCAGGACGGCTGTATTCCAATGCTTTACTTCTGTTCTTAACATTTGCTTGGCCGAGCTCTTCTGGCCTGTCTATTCCGCATATGTAGTAGGTGTTTCCAAACTTCTTTACAGAGCACATTCACCTGGGGTGGTTTTGAAACTGCCACATGCTGAGTCACACACAGTCTAGTTGAATCAGATATTTTGGAAAGTGAAAGGCGGGCATCTGAGTAGGTAAATTTCCCTAGGGGATTCAACTATGCAGGAAACATGGTGAGTCACAGTTGTAGCCTTCTTGAGTGTGTTTTTATGGCATCTTTTGTTGTTGAGCATCTTCAGGTGTGATCCAGGGCTCTGTGGCATTAAAGATTCCTCTCAGGTAGGCTAAGTCTATAACCCTGGTTTTGTATTTCTTTTCATTGAAACAGGCTCTTAGGTAGATTTAGGCTAGCCTCAAACTTGCTATGTGGTTGAGGCTGACCTGGACTCTTGATCTTCCTGACTCTACTCATAGAGTGATAGCCTAACTGTCATTGGCCACCATGGCTAAACGTAATCTAGGGACTTCATGTATGCTAGGGAAGCATTCTACCAACCAAGTTATACCGAAAGTCTGCACTTATGTTTCTTAGCATCATGCAGACCCCCCCTTCCTCACAGCTTGGCTTTGTGTCTTACCCCACTCACTTCTTCTTCAATGTCCATATTTTTCTTAAGAGGGTGCCTCTGTTTGCCTCATAGATTCCCTCTTGGCTTAAGAAAGTCTTTTCAGACTCAATTTCCCCTAGAACCACCCACATCCTTCTCCCAAGGGACTCAAACTTCTTTTTTTCTTGGGGGTCAAGAAAACACAAAATATAACGCTTGTGTTCGTGTTTGTTGAATGGGTGGAAAAAACATAAAAGATAAACATAAAAATGAATCCTCTTGCAATCCAGAACTCATTGCTCAGCATGAGTCTTGATAACTGTAAGAAGGAATATGATATTCAAGAGAGCACAAAGTGATGACGTATTTGATAATGAGATTGATTCTAAGAATAAAGCAAAACAAAGGGCTGGAGAAATGGCTCATTGATTAAGAGTGCCTGGCTGCTCTTGTGCAGGACACAGCTTCGATTTCCAGAACCCTCATGGTGGTTCTCAAACTACCTATAATGACAGTTCCAAGGTGATCCCACATCCTATTCTGTCCTCTGCAGGCACCAGGCACACACATAGTGCACACACATGCATACAATACAGAACACTCATACACATAAACGTTAAATACATCTTTACAAAATGAAATAAAAGCAAAGTAGAAACACAAAAGGTAGCATAAAACATCTTCAACGCCCTCCAGGGCATACTGATTGCATGCATGATTGAGAACCTCGGCCTTCCACTCTCCACTTCTGTGACGACAGCAGCAGCCCCCTGAGATTAGCATGGATGGTAACGGCTCAGAGGCTGCCTTTCTTCAAACAAAACCTGGGTCTCTTGAAGGTGTCTGAGTCTGTGTGTCTGAGGGAGACCCTGTAATTCATGTTTCTTTTTTATGCATTTTATAAAATTTTATGAAAATTATATTTTAAACTGTGCGCTCACCAGACGTCTAGATATCCAAATTCATTGCACTGGCACCCACAGTCCCTTCTGTTGTCTGGGCCTGGTCTCCGTTTTCAGCAGGGTTCTCCCCATCTTCTCCAGCACCCTTGTTCTTCTCTCTCCTCCTTTGCAGGAGCTTTTTTGGATTGGACTTTGGCTTTGGAGCAGCATGCTCAGCAGACAACCCCGAGTTGTCTTCTCTGTGGCTCATCCTTCACCTTTGCTTTCTCTCCTTCATTATTATTATTACTATTATTATTATTATTACTATTATTCCTTCCAGCCTTTCTTTGGGACAAGGCAGCAACAGAAAGACACAGGTGTTCAATGTGAGATTGGTATTCCATGGGGGTGCTCTCGGTTCTTCCAATATTCAGAGTTTTTCTTTTTAGAACTGGAACTCTTTTCTTTCTCTTTTTTTTCTTTTCAATTTTTTTCATACACTATATTTTAATCATTTTGTTTCCCCTCCCCCAACTCTCTCCAGATCCTCCCTACCCCCTCACCTAATTTCATGTTATTTCTCTTTCTTTTTTCAAAAAGAGTCTAAACAAACAAGCAAAAGAAATAAGGCAAAGCCAAACCAAAGCAAAAAAGCATCTACATCAGGATTCTCTCCTTCTGTTGTACATTTGGCAGGTTTTCATCGTGGATACCTTTAAAAGCTCTCTTGGTAACTAATAAAGCAAGCGTGTAAAATATTAGTACAGACATAAAATAATTGCCAAAAACATTAAACTCTTGTCTTAATTGTTACATGCAGAGCATTACATCTATCTGCTATAGAAACATATATCTACATGTTCAAGAAATATTTCAAAACTTGCCCACATAAAAGGCCATAAAAGAAATCTTAATGTTCTCTGGATTTTTTTCTTTTTTTCTTTAATTATTTACTAACCTGCGCTCCTAGGAGCTCACAGAGTCTGAACCAACAACCAGGGAGCCTGCATGGGACCGATCTAGGCCTTCTACATACATGTGACAGTTGAGTAGCTTGGTGTTCTTGTGGGACTCTAACAGTGGGAGCAGGGGCTGTCCCGAGTGCTTTGGCTGGCTCTTGGGAACCTACTCCTCATGCTAGATTGCCTTGCCCAGCCTTAATACAAGGGAGGTCTTACTGCAACCTGATATGTCCTGCTTTGTTGCTACCTGTGGGAGGCCTGCCCTTTCTAAACAGAAACAGAGGAGGAAGGGAAGGGGGGCGGTGGGGCAAAGAGGAGGTGGAGGGGAGGGGATCTAATTCATGTTTCTAACAGGTTCTAAAGTACTACTGTTGTTGCTCCTGTGGAGGTGCTGTTTCAGACACTGGACTGGGGTGTAGTTGGGCCTGAGTTGTTGAGCTCCTTTATCAGGCTGCTTTTCCACCGTGATACATTGGCTTTATCAGTCTGGGGAACATGCCTGTTTGTGTGTATCTTGCATGCATGTATTGGAGGTAGAGGTCTTGATACTATGACATCATAAGAACTCAGGTCTAGCTGGATTTTTTGGAGTAACATTTGGCAGGTAGTCAGGAATGCAAGGTGTAAAAAATGGAGATGAGCAATGGTGTGATCTAATTGGCTCAAATCCCTGATGAGATGTCATTTTTGATAGTGTAAAGAGATGGGATGAGGGACTGGAGAGATGGCTCAGCAGTTAAAATCAGGCACTGTTCTATAAGAAAACTGGAGTTTTGATCTCAGGGTCCCATATCAGATGACTCACAAACACCTGCAACTCTAGCTCCAAGGGATATAGCACCCCTTCTGGCCTCTTTGGGCACCTGCATACACATGTCAATACACACAGGAGGGATGTCTAAGATGATTAGTGCTATTATTACCTGGATAGAATGCATGACAGATAGCATGTGTTCTTCCTGATTTCCTTCCAGTGTATGTGTGCATGCTTGCCTGTCTGCCACATTAGGTCACATCCTTGAGCCTTCACCAGAAGCAAGCACCACGCTCTGGGACTTCCCAAACTCCAGAACTGTGAGCAGGTTAAGATCTCCTGTTTACAGTTTACCTCATCTGTGAAATTCTACTTTAGTGGCAGAAAACAAGGAGGAACATCAAATATCAGATGGAATGTGGCTACCCACGAACTTCCAAAACACTCCTTGCCCCAGTTCTCCTTGCCAAGGCCTTCCATTGCCATGGTATAGAAAGCAAGGTGGAGCTGAGGGTTTCTTGGCATACAGCATTTCATGCCTTGGTGCTATTTGCAGTTGGCTGTGGCACCCAAGCCTCAGCACAAGCTCCTTCCCTCTTTGTGACTCTCATTTAGTTTTAGGAACATAACGACCTCTCAGGCTACGTTGGAAAGTTTCTGAATTATTTTCCTTGCAGTAACTTTCACAGGGAGGTATTGGCTCTGATTTCTGCGTGCTTCCTCTTTTGGGAGCCATAGATATTTTGCCTGCTTCTAGTACTTTCTTTCTCTTGATGTCCTTCCAAAAGGAGCTCGATGCTTTCCTAACACTGGAAGATGTTCTATCTGATGTATTTCAAAGTTCCCAGGGAAAAGTAACTTCTCAAAATTCTCTTCAAAGTTAGTTTTTCCTGGATTCTGCTCTGCTGGTGTGGACTTCAGGCAGCCTGTGAATATAGGAAGGATGCCAAATACTGAGAGGCCGTTTGCATGAGAGGGCTGTTGTGCCCTTGGGTTGACTACTAATGGAAGGCTAATTGTGTATGGACACTCCATTTTCTCTTTAGTGAGGTCCATTGTACCCAGATGCAGATCAAGGCTCATGCCACTGAGGTCTGCCTCACTGGGACAGACATTGGCGTTCCTGTTTCTACAACAGCACTGGTTGGAACTACATGCTGTGACTGTGACTCACCCTGCCATCACATCAGGCCCTCGTCACTCCCTTGGGACCCCATTTTACTGCCTGGGTCAGCTGTTTTCTCTCCAGTGTGAGAAATAGGAAAGCATAGACTAGGAGCAGTTTGACGTGGTACGTAAGGGCTCAGATGCTAACTACTTTAAGTTTTGCAGGAGAAATGATCATTGAAGCTGTCAACATCCGCTGTTATGGTGGTCAAAGCAGTGATGACCAACACGTGATATGCGACATGCTGGCTTCTGAGTTGAACAGCCATTGCCACCTTCATCAGAGCAGTTGTGAACACTTGATAGGGCCGGTTGGCATTCCTTCTCAGAAGGAAGGGCTAGGGAGGATTGTCAGACCCTCTCACCTGAGATCGGCAAGTAACCCTTCATCCATGGAAATAACCTCACAGATTGACTGGTTCACCAAATGGACATTGGTGGAATTGTTGCTTTGGTCTGGCTGAGGCCCTAATGAAGGGTTTGGGGGGCCATGCATTGCTTACAACAGCACATGAACAGGCAGAGAGATGAAGGGAAGGAAGGGGGAGAGGGACGGAGGAAGGGGACGTCTCCAGAGAAACAAAACATGAATTTTCCTGTGCTCTCCACACCTGTTCTGTGACAGACTTTTCCTGGGACTATGCAACACAAATAATTCTACCTACCATGTTACAGTCACTTTCTTCCTGGGAGCCCCATTGATCTTTTCCTGACCAGAGTGTCCTTCTCAAAGATAAATAAGCCATCTCTCTGCTCAGCTCCATACTGTGGTTCCTATGGCAATAGTGTGAGTCATCCTGAGGCCTACATCTTCTAGGCCTTCCTCCATTGGTCTCCTTTTCTTCACGATCACCTTTTCATGCCTGTCCTTAGACCTCTGGAACTTGTGGTTTCATTGGAAGACAAGGCAGCCTCTCCAACAAGGTGATAAGGGACAAATTCAGACAGAAGCAAAATCCAGTTCCAGGACCTCAGGAATCCTACTTCCTTCAGAGAACAGTGATTTAAATGTCCCCTGAAAATCTGTGATAAATAGGATCAAGTTACATTCCTGTATCCTGTATCAAATACAGAATGGCCCTGTGAAGCAAAGGTTCTATTACTCTGTTTATGTTAAAGAAATGGGTCCATGGTGGTTAGCATGGAGTCACTGCAGCCAACCAGGTCTAGCCTCTCAGTTATGCTATGCATTATTATGTATCAATAAGTACTGTTATTATGACTTGATGGTCATAGATTGGTTGTATTTTCCTTACTGAAAATTCACTACTACACTTTAAGGGCTCCTTGGAGCTGACTGAAAAATTATAAAAATGCCTCTGCTCACCATATGGATCAGCCTGAAATGGGGCAGCAGAATTGAAGACCTTGCCCCGAGTGACTGGTTTTGTAGATTATTGATTTGGGCAGCAGTTTATTTAAACATTAAAACCTTGAATGAAGTAACTTAGCCTGAAGAAAAATGTGTCAAACCGAGTGCTTGTTAAGGCTCCTCCTTGGCCTCTGAGGACTTTGTAAACTGTCCAGATGTATTTGTTTTTCTTCTTTGTTTTTTGGGGTTTGTTGTTG